TTATCTTCTCCTGGTTATAGGTTTTCCAGGATACTGGGAAGACTGTTTATGTTGTGGATTAGGACTTCTAGTGTTGTTCCTGGCTTTTCTGTAATGAATTTTATAGTCCTTGGTTTTAGTCCTAGGTCCATGATCCGCCTTGAGTTGGTTTTTGTGTATGCTCCAACCCCTTCTTAAAGCAGCAGCCACTACTGGTGGTGTAGGGAGCTGCAATAGTCAGAGAGGATTAGAGAAGAGAAGTAAAAGGCTCAAAGCAGAATCTGACATGTGCCTTTGTTGGTTTTACTTCTAAGGGGGACAAGCTCTTGGCTCATGGACTCTGATAATTTTAGTATAATGAAAGAGGCAACAGATAAAGGACTAAAGGTAGTTTTAAAAAAAAAAACAAACAAAAAACAAAAAAACACTATTAATTTGAAGGATGAAGAAAGTAAAGTAGGCTCAAGCCCCGCAGGCATACCAACAAAGTAAAGGCAAATACTTAAGTAAATTAGAACTTGCAGGTAAGGAGTTTCTAAATAATGAAACCTCTAAACTGGTAAAAAATTTAAAATAGACTGTGTTTAACAATCATAAGGTTGGCTAGCCTGTTCATCTTTGGTAGTCCAGAATGTCAGAGATAAATATACAAACCAGTCTTTAACAGCTGCACAAACAATGTCACCTAGGAATTTGAAAGCAGATAGAAGAGAAAATGCAACTTAGTACCCAGTGTAGGTGTAAGGAACAAGGATTATAGGAGGCTGTGTCACAGAAGTTGGGTGTCGTTAATCGACTGCCTGTGAAATCCAGAAAGTTGGACTTTGTGAAGTGCAGGAAACAAAGCAGCCTTTCCTGGGAAGGAGTGCCATGTTCATTGTGGTGGAGGGACACCTCCAGGAATGGGCACAAGGTGGACACATGCCCATAGGAGAGGACAGCCACTGTAGCCTTTGTTTTCCAGAATGGTTAGGACAACCTCCAGCATCAGCTAAGGTTGCTTGCATAAAAATTAAAAAGATCAACACTTGAAATCAAACACTCTGAGTAAATGATTCAGAGGTTTGGCCAATCAACAGCTTCCTAAATTGCAACACTACAACGCAGCTTTTTTTTTTTTTTTCAATTTTGCCTGCAATAGAGCAAATAGCATCAGATACCTTACATACAGGCATTTATGGCTTTGAGAAAACACGATAAAAGTCCGTTCCCTTTAGTATAAGAGATTCAAAGAATTGTAAAGACAAATTGGGAATTTTTCCTCAGAACTCTGAAAAATTTAGAGAAGTTTTAGAATATTACTACTATTTTTTTATTAAAATATTTAAGAGTTTTGTGATCTTTCTGCTGTTGTTGAAGCACAGAACTATTAGAGCTGGTAGATACTGGGCTGATAATTTACATGCTACTAACCCACTTGTAGCAAATAGAGCCCAGGCAGTCTTACTTTGGAACTATCAATTAATAAGAACAGCTAGAGCTAACAGGAGCAGCCAGAGATTACATGCAGATTTCTCTCGTACAAGGAATGAGGAATATTTAAGTGAAGTTCATAAACTATTTTAAGTTTGCAGAAATAACACGAGATAAGAAAAGAGAACACCATAGCTCTTAGGAATAGGCTAGGAGAAGCAATGCAGAAATTTACTAACTCAGACCATGAGTCTCATGATTCCCCTTTTCATCAGTCATTTGGACTCCTCTCTCCCCACCTCCTGCAGGCCTGTGAGGGCTGGGTAGAAGCCCAGCCAGCCTGAGACTAGGGTAATTGTCTTAGGAGTGTTCAACTGACTGACGGAATGGGTTGTCCAGCAAGCCAGTTGAAGCCCCTTTACAATACATTAGAAAGGAACAGATAACTCACTATAAGTCGTTTTACTGAAGAAACCTCTTATTTCTCCTTTAGTGAAAACTATGAAACAATCTTCTTTTAAAGCCCAAGTTACACCTTTGCAGCGCCTCTTGGACACCAGTTGGATTCCCTAAAGAAGAAGAAGTTGATTTTCTTTTCCAACGTGTTATGGTCAACCTACCCTTTGGGGGACTCTGAAAAATGGCCAGTG